GTCCATCTTCCAGTATGGTGTGTAGGTCTACTTCCAGCTCATTTGCCTCAGTCACTTTATTTCATTTCTGGACGTGTGCTGATATGGTCATCTGCTTCTGTTTTGGGGGCATATTCAGGAGTTATCTGTGGCCTTAATACTTAGATGGGTGTGTATTTTGGTATTTTTTTATTGCCTCCAAATAGATGTGATCAGTAGATGGGCTTCCCTTTTCACTCTTCTTCCTGAGAAATTTCAAGATGCCACTGTTGGTCTTTGTGATATAACTCAGGATTTAATTTTCAGCCTATTTCCCTTTTAGTCTACCTGTCCTGCTGCACAATCCACATTCAGGCCTTTTTTTCTAGTTATAAACAGTTCAGGCCTGGCTGTGGCCATTTGGTTTTAAGTGAAAACTGTCTCTTTAAATTTAGAGGAGATCTGTGCGCATGCGTAGTAGAACCCTCCGGTGGTGGGGGTGGGGTATCTACTCGCTCAGTCACCCCCTCTATTCACCAGAATGGAGGTGCACAGACAGCGAAAGAGCAATGAACAGATAAAAAAAAAAAAAAAGAATGTCCACACCTTTATTTCTGCAGTTCTGTCAGGCATCCGTGGCTGCTCTGAGCCTTCCCCTGCTTGGTCTTGCCCAAAATGGCGGCTCTAGGAGCAGCTGAGCATCTTGAATTAGAAAGCAATGGGTTTCTTGCTTCTGCTACAAATTCCCCTAGTTGTAAGCCTTCCAACCTTCTAAATATTCCTTTATATACAGAGTTCTGGCACCATGCCTTAAGCCTGCTTGGTCCGGTATTCTGTGTTGGTGGTGATGGAGCTCTTCACTGCACTTCCACCCTATCCACCTTCTTGTTTGTTCTCAAGACCTTTTTAAAATGTTGAAGAGCAAAGATGTCAGCTTGAGCACTAAGGTACACCTGACCAAAGCCATGGTTTTCAATGCAGAGGGTCATATCATTTGCAAGTACAGAGAGTTTTATTTATTTATTTACCAATTTGAGAGCCTTTAACTTTCCTTTCATACCTTAACAGTCTGGCTAAGACTTGGATGTTTGTTTTCTTATTTACTTTTCTTACTATAGGCTTTGCTCTTTTTCAAAGCATTTAAGTGAATGATTCAAGATCATATATATATATACACACATATGTGTATATACACATACATATATGTATATGTATATATGTATTCTCCTAAATAATGAGATCATGAGAGAATAAATCTCTGTTTGTTAAAGCCGTCCACTTGTGGTATTTCTGTTATAGCAGCTCTAGAAAACTCAGATATAAGGCTGGATAACTAAATACATCACTGGAATGAGGAATGAGATAACCATTATAGAAGTTGTTGAAAAACTAAAATTATATAATTGAAGGGGAAATAAATGCTATAATAAGATTGCTAAACTAGATATAAAACTGGATCATTTATTACAAGGCATTAAGATTATACTTTGGGGGGCTGTCTTTTCTTCAGAATAAGAAAAACAAGAACAACAAACCATGCTATCATTTTTCTGAAGTTAACTTTTTATTTGAACAGTTATATGAGAGTCAGATGACCTTAAGATGGGCTTATAAGAAATGTTCTATGCAGCTAATGTCACAAAACAAAAAATATATATACATTGTTGAATGGAAAGCGAATTTGCTCTGTAAATTTTCATCTAAAACCATGATAAAAAAAAAAAACCCTAAAAAAATTGTAGCGTAATATTAAGAGGTAATCTAATCACATATTTTTTTCTTATCTAAAATTTTTAGATTTTTTTCTCATTAGTTACAAATCAGGTGATGTGGGGAGAAAAAGATAATCAGACAAAAGGTACAAGTCCAGTCTGTGCACATCTATCAAATGTGAGGGCTTTTTACAATACCATTTGGTCTATTTCTGCTGCCTGAATTTTTCCTTTTCTTTGTTTCCCTCATATGGTCTCAAAGTATATAATTTCTAGTCACCAATTCTTTTCTTTCTGGTCTTTATGTTCATAGTAGTTTCTTCTTTGACCTTGGCCACGAGAAATGGTGAACAGCATTCATAAACGTCAAATCCAATTTCATCTTAAAGCATAAGTCAATGTGCATAGCAGCATCTACGGTGGTGTCTGGCACAGAAGTGCTTTATGCGTATGATTTGAACATTAGCATTTATAATTCAGTAGAATAAACTCCTTGATGGCAGAGATTGTATCTTATTCACTGTTACATGCATAATATCTAGACAGTACCTGTACTATTGGTAGAAATTAAATTTGTTGGATAGTTTTTAAAACAAAATTCAATTCATGAATCAGAAATGTTCTATAGCACTGTTCTTTAAACTTTTGGTTGTATAAACCTAAAAAAAAAATTTTTTTTTTTTTTTAAAGTCAGTCCATACACTCCACACATTTTTAAATTGACATTTAAGTTTTCCATCATAAGTTTAAATAGTTGCATAGTATGTGATTTCTAGGTTTGGAAATACTAACATAGTAAAACTTGAGTTTTTAAATGTATCTAACATATAAACACTGTAGCATTTTAAGCAATATTCGCTTTAAAAAGATGTGCGTGAACACGTTAACCATTATAAATTTTGCAGTTTCTTTGTCTCCTTGAATGTTTCTTTTTATTTCCTTTGACTCATCACTTTCATCCTGATAATCTTTCTATGCTTGAAACTCTTCTATTGATCATCTTATTGATTAAAATGAAAATATTTGAAAAATTTCTGTGATTCTAGATGTGATTATTCTATAATCATGAATAATACACAGTTGATCAAAAGAGCATAAATAATGTTATAAATTTCAATAAATTAGTTTGAAACAAAAATAAGTAAAATGTTTTTGAGACAGAATCTTTTAAACAAGATGCATATTTGGAGCCATGATTACAGAGATTTCCTAAATCCAGTATTTTGAATTATCCCTTTGATTGGGACTTCTGAGGTTTTTATCCCTCAGGGCAGTGTTCCATCATAAGACTCAGGGCATTTTTTGTCAAATGAGAGAGAGGACCAGAGTGAAAGAGGAAGTGGGAGAAAAACTAGCAGGATGCCTCTACCTTATGGAATGCGATCAGGAAGATCACCTATACACAGAATAGTAGTAGGGATTAAGGATCTGAAAACTGATTTTCTTCAAACTCTCTGGGCCCATGCATCCTTGGTATAAATCCTTGTTCACTCTCATGTCTACAGTTTAAAGATTACTACTTTAAAAAATAGTTTATAGAGATCATGCTAACTAGGTTGTCACAAATGTGATTAAGTATTAAAGCTAATTATACTGCATATATATTGTTTTTTTCCCTATTCTTCTCTTCGTTCTCCATTGCACATGGTTCCAGTAGGACTTTCCATCACAGTGCTCTGTCTTCTTAGAGATAGATGGCTACATTGGCAAGCCTGGTCAAGCATATTAACCCTAGTCCTTTAGAGACAGTACTTTGTCTAACAGCAGGCATGGAAATCAGACACATCAAATGAGGGTCCTTCCATGGAATTGATATCTAAGCACTTGGTTAACAAAATGCTGCTTGTTCTCTGTGAATGCTGCTGAGCTTGGAAGATGTGAATCTGATGTTGTTAGCCATTATCTTCATGACACTGGTTGAGAGTGCCTGTCTGCTAAATGAAAACCAGTAGAGCTAAGCAAAGAGGCAGGTTCTCATGGGCCATAGAGGCCTTGGTTTCTGTAGCTCTTCTTTTGATCTTGGGTGCTACCACAGTAGTTACTCAGAAAGCCAGACTTACTGCCATCGAGTTGATTTCTACTCATAGAGACCTGGTAAAAGATCAGACTCTGCTGATTGTGTGTTTAGCAGTCCAGTGCTTATCCCATAGCACCACCAAAAAAATTGTTTTGTTTAAATGGTTATAGTTGAATTTTGTTGCTACAGAAATATACTTACTTATCAATATGGTTTGATTCCAAAGACCAGGCTGTTATGTGACAGTTGGAGACCATACCCTGTCGTCGGCTCCAGGCCCTCCCCCTACCACCTTACTCCTTTCACTCATTAGCTGTCCGTCATCTCCTGTCGGAATGTGTATCACCCAGTGGGTCCCATTTCCCACCACCTCAAAGACTTCAGGGATTGGCGGTGGGGGGAGAGGGAGAAGAAGGGTGGATGTCGCGGTGTTCTTAGTGTTGTCTGTTATCTACTACCGTCCACCATGCAACTTGGGCAGGAACCTGCTTATCTTCTGTCCACTCGAGTTCCACAGCCCTGCGAGACCCCCTTGCTTACCCTCTTCCTGCCTCCTATTTTAGGGCACTTGACTGGCCTCCCCCTGCCTGCCCTCATTTTTTTGTCACACACTCCTTAGTCTGGCCAAGATATCCCACAAAACAAGGTGTCCCACAGCCAGTCCCCTCAGTGGCCCAGTCATCACTGAGACCTCCAGTGTGTCCTGCAGGGTGGCCTGTGTAGGGCACTTTGGGCCCAGCCTTGGCTCTTCATGGAGCCCAGACCATCAGAGTTGGCACTTGAGAAATTTTACAAAGTTGTCAGAAATGCAAACTGTCAGATAAAGAGTTGATAAATGGGGAGGAGGTGTGATGTTATTAACAGCTGATTAAAATCTTGGGAATACATCTTTTTTGAAATGTGTAATTTTGAAAATTTTTCTTTTCTAGATTGTTGGCCCTTCAGATGGAAGTAGTTACATTATAGATTACTATGGAACCAGACTTATAAGACTGAGTATTACTAATGAAACGTTAAGAAAAACACAGTCATATCCGTAAATATTTTTGAAAAGAAACAGTAAGTGATATTTTTATCCAATCTTGATTATTGTTTACTGTTCTATATGAAATTCTGAGAATTTTAGGACCACAAGAAATTTTAAGAGATTATCTAGAGTAAACTGCTCTAGATAATTTTTGCTTGTCAGGAAACTCAGGTATGTAAACGTCTGAAAAGCCCCTTTAATCCTTTGCTAAGTGTTTTTATGTCTGCTTCTTGCTCCGCCATTCCCCACTCAGATTCTCTTTCTTTGCAGTGAGTATGATTATAGGACCAAGTTCATAAGGAACACTAACACCAAAGCAAAAGAATAGTTGTTAGTGTTCTGATGGTTACGATGGAGGTGTGTGCTGTAGGTAGTTGTGTACTTCTAGAGATCCTTAAGCCAGACTTTTCCTTCTCTTCTCTTTTTCTAACTTGAAAGTGACATCTGTTACTACATGAAACCTGAGAGAGCCAGAATCTGAATAAGGTGGAAACTTGTCAGAGAAGGACAACTCCAAATATTTTCCCCTAAAACAAGTGATATTAAAGTGCTAAAACCACACCCTGTCACAAGTGGAAAATATGTGAGGCCCAGAAGAAACAAGGTGGTGTCATTCAGTTCCAGCTCTCAAAGGTTTCATTGTACAAGCATTTTATTTTCATAATTGTAGTGGTAGTGGTGTGCCAGGGAGTCTGTTCCGACTCATCGCCACCCTGTATATAGGGTTTCCGAGGCTGTAAATCTTTACGGGAGCAGAAAGCCTCATCTTCCTCCCGTGGAACTGCTGGTAGTTTCAAACTAGCTGACCCTGAGGTTAGCAGCCTGATTCGTAACCACTATGCTACTAGACCTCCTTTTTCATCATTATCCTTCAGTTTTTTCTAACAAATAATCTTCCAGTTTGAATGTTGGGTGCAGGGCACTCTTTAGGTGAAAGTTCTCTTTGAATGACCTAATGTGAAACTTAACTTGAGAGTTTAACAGTGACAGATTTTATAAAGTGCTGAGGAATTTATTCTGCCAATTGTCCAAAACACTTTTCATCTTTTCTTATAAAATGATTAGAGTCATTGTTGTTGTTCCTAAGTGCCATTGAATTGATTCCAACCCATAGTGACCCTGTGTAGGGTTTCCAAGGAGCACTGTTGAGCTTGAACTGCTGACTTTGCAGTTCGAACCTACCTTGCAGTCCAGTGCATTAACCCACAGTACCACACTAGGACTCCTACCAAATAATGATAGAGGGGAAGAATGATTATTAGGCCATCCGCGTTAGGCAGGGCAGTAATGTTACACCACAGTCAAGCAGAAAGTGTGTGGACTCATTTTGAAGCGAGTCATTATTGAGTTTTAAAGTTGAAATGGAGTTAAGTGATCCATCTGTCTCCTCTTGCCAAGGTACAAATTGACACTTAAGGAAGTTGTGACTAAGGTTACATAACTAATGTGGAATTAAAACTAAAATCGAGGTCTCTTCAGTCCATTAGTTGACTCCACTGCCAGCCTACCCTACCATACTTCCTATAACTCTACCACTTTGTCATGTTTGAATTTGTTCCCCTGCAGGACCTGGCAGTGTTTCTTCCTGTTGCAAATCGGGTCTTTATGAGTCAGAACTGACTCAGTGGTACCTATCAGCAGCAACAACGTTGTAAGAAAGGAGCCCTGGTGTTTCAGTGGTTAAGCACTCTGCTGCTAACCGAAAGGTTGTCAGTTGGAACCCACCAGTCCCTCTTCAGGAGAAAGATGTGGCAGTCTGCTTCTGTAAAGATTTGTTGTTGTTATTAAGTGCCCTTGAGTCAGTTCCAACTCACAGTGACCCTCTATAGGGTTTCCGAGCAGTGGCTGGTGAGCTTGAACTGCCCACCTTGCGTTTCAAACCGACCTTGCAGTCCAGTGCATTAACCTAAAGTGCCACACCAGGGCTCCCTTGGAAACCCTACTGGGCAGTTCTATCCTGTCCTCAAGGAGCGCTATGAGTTGAACTTGATTCAATGGCAACAGGTTTGGATTTGTTTGTTAAAAAATTGTATGGTTTCACATAACCTTATTTCAAAAGTATATAGATTATTTTAAAATTGTAATGTGAAAAAAAATAGAAGCAAATGAAATTTAAAAACAATTCCATTCTCTGTAGCCTACTTTACAAACACTTCAGTGGTATTCCACACAGATTTGAATTTTAAAACTTGAAGGGCCCACTGAAAAGCAGGTATCGGCATTGTTATTCCTATGATCTCTGTAGCTGATAACAATGCTCTCAGAATAAGAAAAAATGTCTTGAACAAATGAAGTATTAAAATGTACCTCTTCGGTTGCAATCTTAAAATACTGTATTTTAACATATTTCTTTTTTCATTTTAGGATTTGAGCCACCTTGGTTTTAATAGAGAACTCCCTTCCCGTGTCTGGATTTCCACATTTGTCTTTTTCCCTCTTCACATACCACTTTATGTGTGCTATATAATTTTTTGTTATTGATATTTTTGTTTTGCTGTTTTAGTTGAAAGCATACTATTTGATATTTATTTACTATGACGTTCTTTGAGAGCTGTATGACAATAAAATAAAGTCTTTCTAAGGCTACTATCTCTATGAGATAGATAGCTTATTGTCCTGATCATCTTTAAAGTCTTTTCCAAAGGCAAGTTGCCACTTGTCATTCTCCCTTCTGAAAAATAAAAGTATGACTTATTCACATTATTAGTGCTTTATTTTTATGAAAACATTCTTAAATGTTGAATGTAGTTGTCTTCTGCATTTTGATCCTTCAAAGCAGTTAATCCATGGTGTGAACAAATACTATTTATATTGCCTGGGGCTGCAATCTTGTGTATGACAGGCCACCTGTTTTTCTGCAGCTTTCAGATCTGTCTTTGCCTTGGTATCCAAGGAGCTAAAGATCATCAGGGAGTCTGGAAAACCTTGAGGCAACTTGGAATCTTTTGGCACTGACTGATTCAGGCCTGCGACGTGTGACTTTCTCCTTTTTGATTTGGGAGTGATGCACCAGCTTTTAGAAAACCAGATGCTGACTCATCTAGCTCTGCTCAGCTATATTTGAAACTGGATGGACAAAGGCGGAAACACCAAACAGATGATTTATGCCCTCCATCTGTTAACACTGCCAGGCAGATGCTGGCACAAGTGTCTGGAGGAAGCAGCACCTGTCTAGTAGCCCCTGGTTTCTCCTACTGTGCTATGGACTTTCAGAAGATGGAAATGCATGTAATATTATGTCTTACCTTAGTAATAGCCATACTGATTTCAAAATTAATAGAATCTGAACTCAAGACTAAAAATCATGATTTCTTATCACCCATTTTATTTAAATGTATACATTAGAGTACAAGTCACCTCCTATTTTCTTAGTCATTCAGGAACAGCCTCTCTAGTTGGTGGGGGAGATTAAGTATTGATATATGAAGTGAATTTTGATTGGCTTCTAATGTACACCAGGAACTGTCTCTGATTCTTCATTCATGACAATATCTGGCAGCGTCGTGGTTATGAGTCAGGCTGCTAATCTCACAGTCAGCAGTTTGAAACTACCAGCTGTTCATGGGGAGAAAGAGGAGGCATTATGCTCCTGTAAAGATTTACAGCCTCGGAAACCCTATGCAGGTTCGTTTGGAATGGTGTATTGAACAAAACAGATTAAAATCCCTGCCCTTGAGGAACTTCTATTCATGAGTTTTTCAATTTTACAGTGAGAATACTTTGGCCAAATTAAGCTAACTGATAGATGCTCATATTCTAGCAGCCCTTAGCCTAGTTCCTTTTGACTACAGACCACATTTTGACTTTCATTTCAGGTGTGGCATTGTAGGATAAGCACTGTACCACAAGGTTGGTTTGAACAGCAAAGTCGGCGATCCAAACCCACCAGTGGCTCCTTGGAAACCCTGTAAAGAGTCGCTATGATTTGAAATTGACTCAGTGGCACTTAACAACAATTTTCTGGGGTCCTGTAAGTTCAGTCATCTCTTTTGTAACCCATGATAGATATAAGTACCTCTCACATTTCCTGCTGTTGGGGCCTTTGGGGAGGATTTTCCCACTTGTATAGTATGTGCTGGTGTCAGGGCAGGGACTTGCATAACTGTATAAAACAGGAAAAACTTTGTCATTGCCATAATGCTGTGGTGAGTGCTTATTGTCTGACGTGGTGCATCCTGGAGCAGCGATTGTGTAAAGCTTTTGTCCCTTTGGATTTCTGTACAGCGAAGTAAGGCCTGTAACTGTGTCCTGTTTCCTGTTTAGAGGGGTGTAGCATTCAGGATTAGGTAATACACAAATGATTATTTTTGCACGCCTCATCCTATGTGCCTTACTACCAAAGACCATTGGAATATATGTGTCCCACATAACATCAGAATCCATTATGCCTACCAAAACTTTAAAAATAAATAATTCAGCATGCGTTCCATTAGTGAAAAAAAATTTACAGAATTGTACAAAAAATAATTTGGTAATGAAAGAGTTACATATCAAATACCTGCAGTCATACCTTGAAATGCAATTTGATTCTTGCATAATTGTTGCAGTTTTTAACTTGGCAAGATGAGAATTTTGCTTAAAAGCAGGTGCTTCTCAAAATATTCAAACAAGCTATACTCCAAAAGGGTTACTAATAAAACCCAGAAATAAAATTTCTTTACAATAAGTTTTAGACATATTTCATTAGTTTATTAAATTTATATGAAAAGAATACTTTAGTTTTTCCCTTTTGCCTAACCTGCATACTACTTTAATAAATTATTTCTTAGGTTTTATTTATTAATAAACTTAGACTGCATTCAAATTGTTTCTGTTTGTCAGTGTCTTTTTCTTTTTATGGGACAATTTCCTTATAAATATTTGTAAGTAGTATGTATGAGTACTAATTATATGTTGTCCTTTGTATCATATTTTTTAAAAATGATTGTCTTGCTTTTAAAACTAGTCAAAATTGTAAAATGCATTAGCTCAGTAATTCCTTGGATTACCTCTTTTAAGGTCAAATGGAATATT